GAAAGAAGGGCAGAGGAAAAAGTGGAGGAGAGAGGAGGTTGAGGATATTCACAGTTGTGCCCTTGGTGGCTCTGAGTTCTGAGAGTATTTTGTAGTAGAATAGGCAGCCAGAGGGAAAGCTAAATCCAAGTAGCTGAAGCTCCATCATAGAGGTTGGGCTTGCATTCTGCCATTCACAGCGAGTACCTCTTATGCATGTAACTTCCGGATCCACTGGCCAACCGCTGGTCTTGAACATCAGACATTTATGACATTTTTTATTTATGACAATTTATGTCATAAATTTATGACAATTTATGATAGATGACATCAGACTCTTGTGCAGAAGTAAGGGGAATCAGAGAGCACCAATCCAGCTATGTCCCCTCCTCTGAATCAGGCATCTCTTGTTCCCAGCCCAGCAAGTTAGGAGAGGTTGCACCATGTAACTGAGCAAGATGCAGTCGCCTTGGCCAGTACGGATGACCTTCTTGCGAACATGAGAAAGAAGTTGTTGTTAAGTGTTGTTGAGTTTGTTCCAGCTCATAGTGACCCTGTATAGAGTTTCCAAGGAGAGGTTGGTGGGTTTGAACCACCGACCTTGTGGTTAGCAGTCCAGTGCTTATTATCCTGCAGCAACACAAGGGAGAAGTCCTGGAATGGCTCTGTGGGTTAACGCGCCAGACTGCAAAGCTGTTTGAACTGCAAAGCTGGCAGTTCAAGGTCACCAGCTGCTCCTTGGAATCCCTATACAGTGTCGCTATGGGTTGGAACCAACTCGACAGCACTTAACAACAACAGCAACCACAAGGGAAGGCGTTTAAAAGTAAATGTATTCCTGGTTGTAAATCTAAGAGAAGGGAGGGAAGCACATGAGACTTGGCTGTGGGGTACATTTTTACCTTGTGGCTTCAGATTTAGCATCTGTAGAAAAAAGAGAATCCCATTGATCGTGTGTCTGCTTGCTTTGGAAGGCTCCAATGGGGATGTGTTTCTTACACAGTGTCATAAGAGCAATGAGGGAATAGAAGGGCAATGGGATGGAAGGCATTGTTGGCTCTGGGCACAGAAGAAGTGGCACAAACATTCCAACCTGCCCTAACCTCCCTCCATAGCCCAGCTCCTGGAGCTGTTACCATCACACCCTAAGGGAGGACTGGGGGTGCTGTGGTGGCTTTCGTTGAGACACAGCCATAGGAAGAGTGAGGAAGGCTTTTCTGCAGTACCAGTGTAGCCCTGGCCCTGGCACAAAGAATTCTCCATGAAAGACTCTTTAAGTCTATTAAGACACAGACAGGAATGGGTGGTTCCAGTAGAATGAATGGGATCACAAAGAGAAGATCTGCGTTGGTTACATCACCAGAGGCTGGGTGGAAAGTGCAAAGAGACGTCTTCATCCTCTTCTAGCTGAAGCACAGATATTGTTGTTGGAGTCCTGGTGTGGCACTGGACAAGCACTGGACTGTTAACCACAAGGTTGGCAGTTCAAACCCATCAGCTTTTCCTTGGAAACCCTACACAGGATAGCTGTGAGTTAGAATGGACTCCACAGCACTTAACAATTTAACAACAATCTGTTAAATTGATTGAGCGGATTCCAACGCATGGTGATCCTGTGTGTGCAGAATAGAACCTTGCTCCATAGTTACAGGGTTGGGACCTTTTGGAAGCAGATAGTCAGGCCTAGCTTCAGAAGCACCTCTGATGGGTTTGAACACCAACCTTACAGCTTGTTGTTGTTATTAAGTGCTGTTGAGTTGGTTCCAACTAACAGGACCCTGTATAGGGTTTCCGAGAATCAGCTGGTGAGCTTGAACTGTTGACCTTGAAGTTCAAATTGACTTTGTAGTCCAGTGCATTAACCCACAATGCTAATAGCATTGTATCTTTTTTACCACCCCAAAACCCATTGCTGTTGAGTCGATTCGTACTCATAGCAACCCTGTGTTACTGTTGTTGTTATGTGTCATTGAGTCCATTCTGACTCATAACAACCCTATATTCTGAGCAGCAGCTGGTAGGTTTGAACTTCCAACCTTGTGGTTAGTTTATGGTTTAAAGCCCAGTGCTTATCCTACATTGCTACTATGTTGTTGTTATTGTTAAGTGCCAATCAATTGATTCCAACTCATAGTGACCCTGTATGGGGTTTCTGAGGGGCAGCTGGTGGGTTTGAACCACTGATCTTCCAGTTCAAACTGACCTTGTGGTCCAGTGTTTACGTTACATTGCCATACTAGAACTCCAGAACTCCTATAGGACAGTAGCAATGTACCTATAAGGTGTCTAAGGCTGTAAATCTTTATGGAAGCAGACTGCCACATGGAATAGTTGGTGGTTTTAATCGCTAATCTTTTGGTTAGCAATTAAATGCTTTAACCACTCTGCCATCAGGTCTACAGATATCACATATAGATCGTGATATTTGCAAATGCTTCATTAGGGCCCATGTCTTAAAATAAAGGGATTAAATGCCAAGTCTCCAGTCAGGTCTGTGCTTGGAGACCATGAAACTGGCTGACACTTATGAAGAGGGGCCCCTGGACCCATTCCTCTCCTGACCTTAGTTTCTTTCCTTCCTGCAGCATTTAAGAATCATCCCATTCCTATGAAAGACACTGAGATCTGAGTTATATTTGATGCTGGTGGTGATGCCAACCTTTCCACTCTCGACAGGTGATACTCGAATTCATGTCCACATCTCTGAGGTGAGTGGCTTGACTCCTCTGCTATGCCACCAGTATTGTAAATACCAGGGTCACCTCTGGTGGATAGGTTTGCACTGAGCTTCTAGACTCAGATGGACTAGGAAGAAGGAGAGATAGAGTACCTACACATATTTAGTTACTGAAAGCCTTATGAATAGCAGTGGAACACTGTCAGAGAGCACAAATTATTATCGTCGTGGTTATTTATTAAGCACCTACTACATGCGCTGTAGGATCAGCCCTGAACTTCAATCCACAAGGTAGGCAGCTGTTCCTAAAAAACTGTGTACAGAGTCGCTATGAGTAGGACCCAACTCGATGCCACTTAACAACAACATGCCAGGTATGCTAAGAATATTGTTGCTAATCTTCACAAATGTTTCAGTGGTACTGTTACAATCATCAGTTCAGAGCTGAGGCAAAGGGCCGTGTCAAGGCAGTGTAGCAGAGTAGTCAAGGATATAGACTTGCAATCAACACCCAGCGTTGGCACTTAGCAGCTGTCTAACATTGGCCTTAACATTTCTTAAGCTCCGGCTCAGTTCCTTATTTGTAAGATTGGGGACCTAGTAGCAGTAGTTCTTCCATAGTTGTAGTGAGTTAATCTGCCCGGTGCCTAGCACATGGTGAAGACTGTACGAGTGTCAGCTCTTACAAAGGAGAGGTGACTCAGGACAGTCTGTAGTAATACATCCAGGGTTGCAACCACAATCTGTCAGTTCCGAAGCCCATGTTTTGCATGTGAGAAAACATGAGAGAAAGGGGAAAAAGAACTTGTCCGAGATCACCCAGCTGCTCTGTGGTTATCCTAGTTCTGGAAGCATCTCTGATAATACCCCAATCTAGTGCCCACTCCACAAACACTGCTGCCCTTTTGCACTAAAATTATCTCTGATGAGGCCCTTTCTACTTCTGAAATGATCAAATCCAACTGTTAGAAGTTTCTGGGAGAATGTAGGAATAGCCACCTACAAACTTTTTCCCATCATATATTCTGAATATACAGTTAGCACTAAGAAGCTCTGGTAGCGTAGTGGTTACGAATGGGGCTGCTAACCTCTAGGTCAGCAGTTCAAAACTAGCTGTTCCATGGGCGAAAGATGAGACTTTCTGCTCCCGTAAAGATTTACAGCCTCAGAAACCCTGTATGGGGTCGCTATGAGTCAGAACTGACTCCACAGCACATAACCACCACCACCACAGTTAACACTCGGCCAGCCCTCACTTTCTCCTAATGACAGAGTATTTCACAACACCCAGAGAACAAACATAGGAGACATAAACCCAGTAATTAGCCTTCCTTCTCAATTATAACTGACTTAGAAATCTTTAGGAGCTCTGCATTAGCCACTCTTTGCTACCCACTTATCCATTCTGTTTCAACTAAGTATTCCAGATTTATTTTATACAGGCTTCTCTCTTCTCACTACATCCATCAGTATCAGAATTCATTGCATTTTCAATAGGCACAAAAATGAAGAGTTCCTACCTCGTTTAAACCGTGGACCTAACAAAGATCATTTAAATCAGAATCGGAACAAAAAACAAAGAAAAAGAAAAATCAAGTAGGAAAATGAGCTCTTATTTATTCCCCTGCAGTTTCCCTCCATGTTTCATTTAAATTTCCCGCCATCCAGATGAATACAAACATGTTACAACTGACCCCAGTTTTACTCCCAGTCTCAGAAGATGAATCACAGAGGTGGTAGCAAAGACAGCATGGAAAGAGCAGATGAGTTATGGAAAGAAAGTAGTGATTTTCAGAGGCCTGACCTCAGATGTCAAAGTCTCCAATACTCCTACCACCCTCCCACTGGGTGCCAACACTTCTCCCACCCACACGAATCCAATGTAGTTAAGTACACAGCAGATGAAGTCTTCATTCAACAAGGGCTCCGGGAATTCAGGCATGGATGAGGGCTCCCAGATGCCCTGGTCAGAGTGCTGTAAGATGTCACAGAGCTCACATCTCAATGAATGGCAAAGTCAGTGTAAAATGCAGTGCTCCTTTTGCTCACTGTCCATGCAGAGTCATACCACTTCTACTTCTGCTCCCTAGTGATGGAAGGATGTTACCATTTGCTGGGCTTGGGATCAATTTGAGTGAGAATAAAGTCGGAGAGAGAGAGAACATAAAACAGGAAGAGATGCACAAAGGTGGACAGAGTCAACTAGTCAGAGAAGACACAGAGTCCAGATGAAGCTGGAGGGATGAAGGAAGAAATGGAAAGGCTAAGCTGCTCTCAATAGCAAAAGACAGACAGTTCCCAGCCAAGTGTGAAGCCAACGGGAGTTGTTTGGGCTAGGCTTGCCTCACTTGGAGACCAGCATGCGGACAAACTCCTCGTAGTTCACTTGCCCATCTCCATCCGTGTCAGCTGCTCGGATCATCTCATCCACCTCCTCATCACTCAGCTTCTCCCCCAGCCTGGTCATCACGTGCCGCAGCTCAGCTGCGTTGACAAAGCCATTGCCATCCTTGTCAAACACGCGGAAGGCCTCCCGGATCTCCTCCTCGCTGTCTGTGTCTTTCATCTTCCTCGACATCATGCCCAGGAACTCAGGGAAGTCCACTGTGCCATTGCCATCGGCGTCAATCTCCCTGACCATGCCCTGGAGCTCGGCCTCGGTGGGGTTCTGGCCCAGGGACCGCATGACAGTGCCCAGCTCCCGCGTGGTGATGGTGCCGTCCCCATCCTTGTCAAACAGAGAGAAGGCCTCCTTGAACTCTGCTATCTGCTCCTCGGTCAGCTGGTCGGCCATGCTGCTGGGGGGCGTGGAGGGCGGTGGCAGAGATAGCTGCGCCTGGATCTGTGCTCTTGAGCTCAGGCTGGCCACTCAGCGCCTGGCAGCAGACTGGGCTCCTTTTCCCAGGCTCTGGAATGACAGGGGGAGATCAGAGGGGAGGGTTGTCGGGCGGGTTTTCTAGCCCCAGCATGAATCGCTGGCACTTAAGAAGGAGAAGAGTCCTCCCTCACCATTGGTCTGGCAGTAGGGTTGCCATTCACACACTCCCCCGCCCTGCGGTTGCCTGGAGGCAAGGTCCTGTTTAGACAAGAGTCCAGAAGCAGGAACAAGGTCTGTTGGCTAATTGAGCTGACGCCGACATCTCTCTTTGTGAAAGGCAGTGAGATTTCCATCCTGATATCAGACAGAACCCTGATGAACCACCTACAATGCTAAGGTGTGTTGGGTTGTATTGAGAGAATTTACTTTTGTTTCTTTCTTAAAATTTTCCTTTTCCCTTCTAACTCCCCAATCTTAACACCTGCCTCAGTTCTTCCCAACTAACCTTTTCTTCTCAGCTAAGGTTTGTTGAAGGATAAAAAGCAGAAATGGCCTCTGATGAAAAAACTTTCCTTCCTTGGTTTTTGGTCTCCAAAACCCAAGATAATTTTCAGAGACAGAAAAAGGTATACTTTCGTCTCTCCCCAGGTAAAAGCAAAGAAGCAGTGTCATCTTGTCTTCAGAATAAATATGAGTATATAGAAGGATTTTCTCCAACCGGTTCATTCATTCATCAGCAAGCATTTATTGATGGGCTCAAGCTCACCAGCTGCTCCTCGGAAAACCTATACAGTGTCATTATGGGTTGGAACCGTCTTGCCGGCACTTAACAACAACACCAACTATGTGCAGACACTTTTCTAGGGGCTGGGAATTAGGCTATTGATCAGTTCTCAGGAAGCTTACATTTGATCAGCCAGGTAGCTAGTTAGCAAGTAACCCAACAAAGAAGATATAACAAGATAATTACAGAGTTAAACCGAAATAAATGTTATACATCCATTCTTGTTAAAGAACACTCAACAAAGTAGAAATTGAAGGGAAATTCCTCAACATAATAAAGAACACACAAATCCAACAGACAACATTACTCTCAATGAAGAGAACTTAAAGGCATCCAAATTGCCAAAGTAGAAGTAAAACTCCCTATTTGCAGATGATATGATCCTATACATAAAAAAAACTCAGAGAATCAGTGAGACAATTATTGGAACTCATTGAAACATTCAGTAAGGTGACAGGGTAGTACAAAATCAATATACAAAACTCAGTTGGATTCCTATACACTAATAAAGACAGCTCTGAAAAGGAATTAGGAAAAAACAATACTATTTACAGTAGCCACACAAAAGATGAAATACTTACGAATAAATCAAGCCAGATAAATAAAAGACCTATACAAAGAAAACTACAAAACACTAAAAGGAAGCAAAAGAGATTTACAAAAATGGAATATATTATGCTCATGAATAGGAAGACTTAATATTGTGAAAATGTCAACACTACCCAAAGCAATCTGAAGATATAATATAATCCCAATCCAGATTCCTACACAATTCTTTAAAGACACAGAAAAAATGATCATGAATTTTATGACAAGGAAAGAGATCTCTGATAAACAAAACACTACTTAAGAATAAAAGTTGGAGGTTCTTACTCTCTGATCTAAAAATTTACTACATGGCCACAGTGGACAAAACAGCCTGGTACCGTAAAATGAAAGATACATAGAATAATGGAACAGAATTGAGACCCCAGAAGTAAATCCATCCACAAACAGTCATTTGATCTTTGACACAGAGCCAAAAAACATCAAATGGGGAAGAGATAGTCTCTTGAATAAATGGTCCTGGCAAAACTGGAAAATTGATTTGCAGAAGAATGAAACAAGACCTGTATCTTGCACCATATATGAAAACAAACTCAGCATGGATTAAAGATCTAAATGTAAAACCTATACCTGTAAAGATCATCAAATGAAACTCTAGGGATAAACTTCTGGACTCTAATACATGGCATACAGACATTATCAAACATTACAAAAACCACACAAACAGTAGAAGACAAAGTAGATGATTGAGACCTCCTAAAAAATTAGAAACTTATGTGTATCAAAATATTTTGCTGAAGGAGTGAAAAAAACAGGGAGACCACAGACTAGAGAAAAAAAATTTTTTTCAACGACATATCAAACGAGATTAATAACTAAAATTTATAGGAAACTACAACACCTCTACAAGGAAAAAGACAAGCAACCCAATTAAAAAATAGAGGACATGAATAGACACTTCATCAAGGAGGACATTCAGGCATCCAACAAACACATGAAGAAATGTACATGATCATTAACCTTTGGTGGTCATCGTAGTGGTGTGCCATTGAATCAGTTCTGACTCATAGCGACTCTATATAGGATTTCCAAGGCTGTAAATCTTTATAGGAGCAGAAAGCCTCCTCTTTCTCCTACAGAGCTATTGGTAGATTCTGACTACTAATGTTTTGGTTAACAGTCCAGCTTGTAATTCACTATGCTACCAGGGCTCCTTCACTAACTATTGTTGTTGTTGTTGTTGTTGTTATGTGCCATTGAGTCG